GGAGGGGGGGGGTCGGGGAGGTGGGGGGGTGACGGGGGGTGGGGTGGGGGGGGGGGCTCCAAATTCGGGGGGGGTAAACTTTCCCCACCACGGGGGGGGGCAGCAAATTTACACAGATCTTATATTGCGGCCCCTTTCCTGGCGCCCCCCCCGCGCCGTTCGGAGCCGCGGCGCTGGAAGTGAATTTTATAAAGCTGATCGATATCTTGGTAAAATATTCATTTTTAAACGGGTGCCCGGCGAAATCTTTGCTTTGTGCTAAAGTCAACAGTGGCACAGTTGGAGTTCCAATAAATGCCGGGATGCTCCCAGCTCCCGCACAGCCGGGCCGGAGGCCGGGGCGCAGGTAGGGGACACCCGCCGCTCCTTCTCCTGCTTTTCCTGTCCTTCCCCTTCCTTCCCGCTTCCCGCTTTATTCCCAGCCCTTCTTCCTCAGCCTTCTCCCCCTCAGCTCGCCCCAGAGCCGCCGGGGCCGAGGGCAGCGCCGCGGAGGCCGCAGTGGGGGATGGATTCAGGGTGGATTCAGGGATACGCCAAGCCCGCGAGTTTTTTGGGATCCCGTCTCCCAATCTTGGAGCACAGGAGGAGTTTTGGGGTGTGGGAGACACCTCGAGGCTCCGATTCTGCCCGGTTTAGCCCCAAACCATGGGACAGGGACGGGACGTGAGGGTCCAGCTCCCTCCCTCTTCCCTCTCCTTCCCAAACTCCCGAGCTTCCCTGAAATTTGCTAGTTCCATTTTAATTTTAGCGGATTTTCTGCCTTTCCCCTATTTTTCCTCCTAGATTTTCGTTCCGGGAGAGGGTTTGTCCCCGGAAGCGCCGCTCGCGGTGACATTCCCGCGGCTCCTGCATTCCAACATCCTCGTGGGCCAAAAAATAAGGGATCCAAAGATTCCCGCGGATGTGTTTACTGGGAAAACCGGGAATTTCAGTGGCCCTTCTCCAGGTTCGGGGACGGAGGTGTGGGTCACAGCTCGGAGGGGGTGGCCGTGTCCCCATGTCCTTCTCCGTGTCTCCGTCCCCGTCCGTGTCCCCTCACCGCGACAGGTGACATCGCTAATGAGCTCTCGCTAATTAGCGCTGACAGCTCCAATTAGCGCTCCGTGCCCGCCCGTCCCCCCCGCGGGAGCAGCGCCCATCCCGCCGCTTTCCCGCTCCTGCCCTGCCGCTCCCGGCTGCTTTTCCCTCTTTCCTCGAGCATTCCCAGCTCCCCGCAATCACAGCCGGGATCGCTGTGTCCCTGCTCCGTTTTCCCGTCAATTCCCGTCAAATGCCGGGTTCGGGTTATTTTCTGGGATGCGGCTGGGGAATGCCGAGGGGGACCGGGCAGGGCCTGAGCTCCCAAATCAGTCCCGTTCCAATCTCTTCTCTTCTCTTCTCTCCGTTATCCATAGTTTTCTTTCATTTTTCCATGACTTCTCCCTCCAGGAAAAGCGACTTTTCTCTTTTTTTTTTTTTTCCCCTTTTAATTATCCCGGCCCTTAATGACATTCAGGGACGGCTCCAAGGGCATCAAAGCACAAAGAGGACGGGGAAGCCCCGGTGGGATCCCAAATTCTCCCCCAACCCTTTCCCTCAGAGTAACGCTGGAAGAGCCGGCCCTGCCTTCCCTGCCCGCAGTATCCAGCGCATTTCTGGATAATCCTAAGGA